GTCAATCAAAATCAATTTTTTGTTTTGGTACCAGGGATTGAACCCAGGGATGCTTGGGGCCACATCCCTAGCCCTGTTTTGTGTTTTATTTAGAGACAGGGCCTTGCTAAGTTGCTGAGGCTGGCTTTGAACTTGTGATCCTCCTGCCTCAGCCTCCTGAACCGCTGGGATAATAGGTATGTGCCACTGCACCTGGCCAAAATTAAAAAAAAAAAAATGAGTAAAATAGGGGCTGGGGTTGTGGCTTAACAGTACAGCCTTATCATCATCCAAAGAACATGTATGAAGACACGAATTTGTGTCAGCATACTTTATATACAACCAGAGATATGAAAAAATTGTGCTGTATACATGTAATAAGAATTGTAATGCATTCCACTGTCATTTATTTTTTTTAAAAAATCAATTAAAATATGTATAAAAAAGATGAATGAAAAGCAAAAATAAATAAATAAATAAACAAAATAAAGGTTTTGTGTCCATCTACAACCTAAAAAAAAAGTAAAGTACTCATTCTCTCAATTAAAATGCATAACTATGAAATTTTGAATTACAATCAGAGGCCATAGGAAAGAGTCTCTGTCATTTGTTACCATGTCAAAATTGTGCCCAGTATTCTGTTGATTTTTCTTTTAAGAGAAGCTAATTGCCAGTATTTTTTGTGATTTTATGTCCATTTTAACATGTTGGTTCTCTCTATACTTAAAAAAATTAAAACAACATCTTTAACAACACCCTGACCAAATACATCATTGTATAGAATTACATATTTGTGCACTCTAGATTACATAATTTCCCAAGTCTAAACTTTAAAATAACATGAGTCTTAATGATTCTTAAGGAGGTATGACTTACTCTGGTTTGCTTTTCTTTTTCTTAAAGAAACTTTCCTGAATATTTACATGAAACAATATTAATAAGAGATCCTTTTCTCAGTATTGGCATACTTTTAACTTTGCTGGTGAGATGGAGAAAGAAGAAAAGACCACGTGCTCCAGGCTCTGGTGGGAAAGGTACAGGCCTCGCTTGTACCTGGGAAGTTGCTGGTGTCTTTTGGTGCCTTTTGACCATAAGTGTCTGTTTTCTGCACCTGTTGGGGCTGGAAACATGGATCTGTCCACTTCCTAGTACACTTTCACTTCAATGAGGTACCAGATGCAATTAGTGGCATACAAAGTATATAGAGAAAAATGTTAGTGGACCTTGAAACCAATTCCAGGTATCTTATGAATACGGGACAGAAAGAACAGAAAATATTTGTATGCATGGCAAATGGTAAGGGTCAGAACTATTTTGCAGAACCTTTCTTTTAGTTACAAGTATGTATGTAATATAGGTTGAAAGCCACTGATTTAGGGTAGCTATGTAGACCCTTGTATTTCTGCCCAATATAAAAGGATTTAATTAAACTGGAAATTTGGGAAGACTCTCATTATTTGTTAATTATCTTCAAACCAGATTTTTTCTTCCCAGTCCCATGAAAGCACAGATTCTCTGTTTTGCTTCAATTCATCCTCTGATCCAATTATCACTTTTCAAGAATGAGCAGCAGTGCTGATGGGAAAGAGTTCTTACAAGAGGCTGACCTGTTGGGCCAGCCGTGGAGGGTAGGAAAAGGACTATTGGCAGCTGAGGGAGATGCCGAGATGCTGGGGGTGGGAGAGTGAGCCAGCCCCAATTCTGTTTCCTCTAAAATTCCTTGAGAATGAAAAGGAGGAAGGAAAGGTCACCTAATTTTAAGGACATTGAAAAGGCTCAGAGGAAAGCAGACCTAGAAATAGTTCAGCAATTAAATGTTTTTCAGGCATCATAAAATTATTTCTTGGAAATCAAATGACTTAAGGAAAAATGTGGTTCTTGTCTGGGTCTGTGGAATGAGAAGTAATTGTCTCTGTGAGTCAGTATTTTTGTAAGTGTGAGGTTATTAGTCATACACACCAGGAATTAACAGAAGTTAACTCTTCCTATATTTAATTAATCTTATGTTTGCAATCTCAAAAAATCATGTTCTGAAATCTTCAGAGCCAAGTAGAATTTAGATTGTTGTATGAGACCGTGGACACTAGAGGGATACATATCCTTATGTCTTAATAAGAATTTACTTTCAAATGAAAACTGTCTTCTAAAGTTTCCAGAAATAATAGCAAATTATGCTAACTTCAATCTTGTAAAAATCATAAATTTTGTCCTAATGATCACCTAGTGAGTATGGTGTGAAATGCATGAAAAGCACTTAGTATTTATATCAACTATTTTCCTCTGCTACATGTTGATTAATTTAATGACATTATCTTATATCTCTATGCCAGGGGGTATTTTTGGATATGTTCTGAACTACTGTAATAACTCAAGTTGTCATTACAAGTTATAGCCAAAAGACTACACTATTTTTATATACTGAAGTGAAAAACAGGTTTTTCTAATATATTTCAGAGACCAGTCAGCATTTTACAAATTATATTGAAAAGATAGTGAGCATTAATTTGGTCAGTCAGTGGTCATTGATTAAGTTCTCTTTGTTAAAGTATTTTTGAGGATAAACTCCAAAGGACAGAGATATGATGGGGATAGAACTTTTTCTTCTTGGTCCTATCATTTGTTTAGATTGATAAGACTGATTTGATGATACAAGCCAGCTAAGACTAACTTTCTAGCAGGGGCACATATCGTGGGTTAAATATTCAGACACAATTACAAGCACTCAGAGACTGTTGTCTTCTGCCATTAAAAATGACTTTCTATTATTATTTATTTTTATTATTTTGCTTCCAATTCATGCAGTTTTTAAAGATCTGATGGATGTTTGAAAGGTTATGATTCAGTTTTTTTTCTGTAAATGCAAGGATAAAGATAACTGTAATCTCTTGGATTGCTTAAGGCCCAATGTATAATAAAAAGGTATACTAACAAGCATGGATTTAAAAAATATTGATTCACTAGAATCACTGGAATACTTGGATTAAATCTCCCGTTGCTGCTAGGTAATGATTTAGTGTATTAGATCCATGAAAGCTGGATGTAATTTTAATGCCCTATGGGGGAAACTATTAATTCCTGGTTGGTATAAAACTTTAGGGAAAAGAATACTTAGGTTATAAACTTAGAATGAAGCTTATGAGGGAAGCAGGTTTAAATAATTTCCCCAAACTACTTCAGTGCCATCAGTTCTGTTTTGCACCTGGGATTGCATTTTGACATTTCCAGGCCATCACCTCACCTAGACCCTGGGCTGCTGGAGAATGGGAGCTAAGTCTTAACCATCTCTGTATTCCTAATGTAGTGTGGCGTGAAGCACATAACCTAGATTTTCTCTAGGTGAAGTCTGTGGACACCTAAATCAGATTCCCACCTGTAAAGTCTTGTTAATTCAAATGCTCAGGACATATCCACAGATTTATTAGATAAGAATCTCCAGAGATGAATTTCAATCCAAGATAAGTAAATGCAATGGCATTGATAAAGCAAAGATGGAAACCAAGGCCCCGGACCTTGCCTTGCACATACTTTTATGGTGTGCTCATTATCTGCTAGATGAACTTTTAGGGACATGTGCTAAGTGCCAGACACTCTAGATACACAGATGAATGAAACACATTAATGGTCAAAACTTTTGAGTCAGAAAGATGTGGTTGAGCCAACCTTAGCTACCTGTGTCACAGGATTAGCCCAAATATTAGGTAAGATAATATATGTAAAAGACGTTGCAAAGTGCTTGGAATATAGTGTCCTATGTTCATAAATGTTAGCCTCCCCTCACTTTTTTTTTTTTTTTCTGGCTAAAGAGCTTCTAGATGGTGCTGAATTTCCTGGAAAATAAGGAAAACTTGAAAATAAGGAAGGGACTATGGATCAGTTAGATTTTGTTTTATAATACACCATCCCAAATTTTGGTGATATAGCATTTAGTGACTCAAGATTTGGTGGATTGGCAGTTTAGGCTCAGCTCAGCTGGAACAGCTCATCTGTGTTCCCGATGTGTCAGCTGGGCACATTCATGTGCTGGTGGTCTGCTGGAAGCCAGTGGCTCACCCACATATTGGCAGGAGTAAAGGTGGTAAATGAGCTGTGTGTTCTTCTCCAGCAGACTAGTCCAGGCAGGCCAGGCTCATGGAAGTGGCAAAAGGGTTCCCAAGAGCAGTGAGAGAGAGCAAGTCCTGTTGAGCAAGCATTTTTCAAGCCCCTGCTTGTGGCCTGTGTGTTAGTCTTTCTTTAGACAAAGCAAAGATCATGGCCAGGGGATAGAAACAATTTTCAACAGGTAGGGAAAGAATTCACCTCCTGATGGACAAAAGGATGTGCATAGGAAAACTTTGTGACCATTGTTGTAATCTACACAGAATGGATTTTATTGACTGCTCACTCACCATCAGGCTTTAGGCTGGGCGATTTACATATTGTTCTTTTAATCCTTGTGGCATTTTCTTGAAATACATGGCATTATTCTCATTTTATAGATGAAAAAACTGACAAGAAGTGTCAAGACTTAACATGAGCACACGTTAAGGCCAAAGTGTTTGCTTCAAGTTATAAAGAATGGTCTTTTAGATGCTATCTTTTGTTGCTTAGGTGATCAGATGATTGGTCTATAAGGCAGATGGTGTGTGCTTTTTTAAAATAAAGACTTGTTTAAAATAAAGCTCCAAAGATGTGGTTTATTTTCCAAATTATATGTTGAAATATTGGGACATGTATTTATTTGGGATAGAAAAAGTTTAAAAATTTGCTCTCCTTTAAGACTTCCAACCGGGCATGGTGGCACATGCCTGTAATCCCAGGTGTTCAGGAAGCTGAGACAGGAGGATCGAGAATTCAAAGCCAGCCTCAGCAAAAGCGAGGTGCTAAACAACTCAGTGAGACCCTGTCTCTAAATAAAATACAAAATAGGGCTGGGGATATGGCTCAGTGGTCAAGTCTTCCTGAGTTCAAGCCCTGGTTACACCCCCCGAAAAAAAGACTTCCCAGAAGCTTATTGGATGTGTGTTTTGTTTGCTTTTTGCCAGATCACCTACCCAACCTGGATCTCACTGCATCCTGGACATGACTGAGGTTTTCCAATGGGCCAGATATCACTGGCAGCAACTGATGGGTCGCCGAAACAGGGATGATGACGAGAGATCGTACAACTATTCCTCGCTACTTGTTTGTGGGGCCAAATCCTCCCAGACCCCCAAACTGGCAGGAAAGCACCGGGTTGTTATTCCCCATCTCTGGCCCTTCAAGGATGAGTATGAAAAGTTCTCTGGAACCTACGTGAATAACCGAATACGAACGACAAAGTACACACTTCTGAATTTTGTGCCAAGAAATTTATTTGAACAGTTTCACAGGTACTGTTTTCTTTTTGAGAAAAAAAAAAAGAACAAAAAACTTAGAATGCTGTTCATTTTAGTTGACACATTTTTATTTTCATTTTCACCACACTGTGTGTTATTTAAGCCTAAGGCTTGTGACATCCTCCTTGGAAATTTGGGTTCAAGTCTGCTATTGGCATGATGGCCCCTCACATTCACATAGCACTTTACAGTTGGTAAGATGCCTCTCTTTACCAGAGAAGGCACTGTTATTCTAAAATTATTATAGAATTAGGCAACTCTTGGTGGTGTAGCCAGTGTCCTGCCAGTGATAACTGACCAACGGCTACAGCCTTGTCATCTTCTCTCTCTTGCTTTAGTGTTCTTTCCATTAAACCATACTCCATTTTCATTTCACATTTTTCTTACTTCGTAACATGGGGAAATAGAGTCCTGAAGCAAATGCGGTGTACGATGTTGCTATCTGAAGCAGTGACATAATTTAGTTTAATATGCATTTAAGGAAGAGCTTCTGAGTTTAGGCACCTAAGGAAATGCAGGTAAAAGCATTGCTCCTTTCCTTGTGGAGTTTTCAGATTAGCCAGGGACACAAGAATTATATACAAATGAAGAAAGATATGGGGAATGTGATGAGTGTTATCCAGTGCCATCATGTAGAATGGGAACCTCACAGAGAATCATAATACCAGTGTGAGCAATGGAAGGCAAAGTGGCATGTGACCTACTTCTGAGGGTCGGTGAGACATTCTAGCCTTGGGAGTGGTCTTCTCTGATAACACATAGGATCTATTCTGGGGAGCAATAAGAAATAGTGTTGGAAATATAAGTCTAATCCACCAGAAGGGCCTTGATGTCAGAATAAAGAGGTGAGACCAAAAACTGCAGGCACATTTCTGAGCAGAGTAACATTCTCATGCCTGTATTTCAGTGTGATGCATAGATGGAGGGACTTAGGCAGACAGTTCATTTAGGAAGCTGAAGTATATAGCCTGGTGAGTTGTCATGGCAACCTGAACTTAGAACAATGTGGGACTGTTACTCTAACCTATTACAGTTATGGTGGGTTAGATGTGAGGAATTCAATGAAAGGAAGAAAAAGTTGATGGGAACATATTGAGCTATTATGACAAGAAAGATTAACAAAAAAAGGAAAGACAGTTGTAAAAAGAAGCTTGGCTGGAATTTTTTTTTTTTTGTAAATGTATTTGAAGTGCTATTGTGAGTGTAGAGGTTCTTAACATTTATGATTCATTCTACATACTTTATTCCCATATTTCATTCTATATATACTTCATATGCACTTATTCAACAGTGGTTGTGTTTGAAGTGCAGATGTGAATTTGTTGAATTACTGGCTTTAAGTATTATGGGTATTTATGTCTTCTATGGAGTTTGTAATCTAGTGTGTTTAATTGAAAACAAATCAGAAATTTGAAAAGTTCCCTGTAGAGCTGGATATGGTCCACTTACAAATAATCAAAGTCACAGAAGAAAAAGAAAAAATATGAGTAGAGTATTCTTTTGAGTCATTTCATGGTCAATGGGAAAATATGTGATAAAAATTCAAGGGGCTATGCAAGATTGAGATTTTGGTTTTCTTTTAAACTTAAAATAAGGAACTAGTAGAGGAATATTTAAAAATAAAACAGAGAAAGCTAAGAAGTTTCTGAATAATTAGGTTTTGAATAGCTTAGAAAGAAATAGAAGGGTTACCCTCAAAGAGAAGACAAAAACCAAACAAACACCCTCAGGTTTTCCCACTTATTTGGGCCCTAGTTTGAATCTATTTGGTTATACAAAAGGCTAAAGAGTTAAAAACATGCTGACTCTGAATTTCTTCTATTTTTGACTTTTAAAATAGAGAAAATAGTACTTCCTTTACACCTTCCTCTGCATATTTGGATTGCAGGGCTGCCAATTTGTACTTCCTGTTCTTAGTCGTCCTGAACTGGGTGCCTTTGGTAGAAGCCTTCCAAAAGGAAATTACCATGCTGCCTCTGGTGGTGGTCCTTACAATTATCGCAATTAAGGATGGCTTGGAAGATTACCGAAAATACAAAATCGACAAACAGATCAACAATTTAGTTACTAAAGTTTACAGTAGGTAAGTGTAACTGGAGCTTCACTGAAGAATATATGTACATCTTTATATCATTTAGAAATGTGTTGGTTTTTTCCCTCCTAGGCTTGACCAGGACCTTTTTTTTCTGTGTGGTTGTTATTGTTTTCTATGAATATTTCTTAAAATCCTACAGTGAACTTTAAGTCAGGTGTTGGAAGGAAAACAATAGCCTTTGTAGATCCAGGACTTCTATAACTTGTGCACAGTGGAATTGAAAGAGACCTCAATCCATAAGAAGGAGAGCAAGCAAATTGTTTTTAACTTTAGATGTCATAATTTAGGATCAGAAATAAGATGAATTATGAAAAACAAGAGTAAATTTGAATGGATATGAAAAATAAATTGGGATGTGAAGAGAAGACAGGAGCTACCTATGGAGAAATGGAGAAAAGTGTTCCTTTTTATGCACAGAGTGGAGGCAGCCCATCACAGTAGCAGCAGCATCCACAGGAGCAAGTCCATTCAGGAGCATGGATATTATTAGAGACTTGCATTTTCAATATTTGTAAAATAAGTAGAAACTCTGTGTAACCAAGAATAAACTCAGCTGAGGTGAGTTTGGTACCTTGAGGTATCTTATATGCAGCTCCTGAGTTTTTATTTTTAGATTATAAGTCAGTATTTAGGGAACAATATAGACATGTGTGTCTTGTCTGCAACCTTATATCAGCCAGAGAGGAGTAGGCTAGGGAAGTGATATTTGAGCTGAAACCTGCAGAATTCTCAATATTGTTTATTATTAGACTTCAGTGGTTTTCACAACATTTGTTTTAAAGATCTATCAAGAAAACAAGAAAAGTAACATTTCTTTAAAAGATGATATGAGATTATGGGAATAATGAAAATTTAGTTCTACGTTTTTCTTATACTTGTGTTTAATTAAAAGAGAACCAGGCCAGGAGCAACAGCGCACGCCTGTAATCTCAGTAGCTTGGGAGGCTGAGACAGGAGGATTGCGAGTTCAAAGCTAGCTTCAGCAACTGCGAGGCATTAAGCAACTCAGTGAGACCTTGTCTCTAAATGAAATACAAAAAAAAAAAAAGAAAAAGAAAAAAAAAGAAAAAGAAAAAATAGGGCTGGGATGTGGCTAAGTGATTGTGTGCCTCTGAGTTCAATCCCTGGTCCCTGCCCCCCACCAAAAAAAGAAAAAAAAAACCTGATGTATTCTGTTAAACAATGGAATAGTAGTATAATGTAAGTTTGTAATTTGCTTTTTAAAATCATAGAACATTTACAATAGTTCTATGAATCATTCATTAATATTTGATTACTTATAAAAATTCCAGGGATAAAGAGATGAAATGATTTTATAGGGAACAAAGTCCACATTTTGACAAATTATAAGATTATCCAGCTAAAACCAAATTTGTCAAATGAAAAGAATACTTATTATCTATTTTTATATATATTCTTACATATAAATAATTGCTGATTTTTAAAATTTAATTCTTTTTTTAGTTGTCAATGAACCTTTGTTTTATTCATTTATATGTGGTGCGAACCCAGTGCCTCACACATGGTAGGCAAGCACTCTGCCACTGAGTCACAACCCCAGCCCCAATTGCTGATTTTTAATATGAGTTTAGAGTTGATAATATGTGTTTAATTAACTTTCTAAGTTCTAAAAAGTTCTTTCTAATCTTAGTAACTGTGCAGCTTTGGTGAAATTATATAAGCTTGCCAAATACCCACCTTCTTTGATTTTGAATGTAATGATAAAACAGTAAGCATAGTACCTAGTACTTTGTAATGGCAAGAAAAGGTTAGCCATCAGGACTACCATTACAGATCATTCACAATTAGCTAGAGCTTTTGCATGCCACATCATCAAGTCATTAAGCCACACTTGAGAACTTCTAATAACATCTTACTATTTTTTAGATATTCATATTGCCTTGTGGGAGACCTGGCATAACTATTTTTTTTTGTCCTTTTAGACATAGTCTAGATCTTTTGTAGATGATTTGCACATAAACTGAATAATGAAATGCAATATTCTAGTCAATTATTTAAGGTCCATTCTAAGATATTTCTTCATGATTGTATTTCATAAGAGACTTGGATGATTTTCTTTTCATCTATATTCTATGTAATTTACTTTTGTTTAGCGATATAGAAGAATATAGAGTGCTTATGTATTCTTCTCAAATTGTTCTTTGAATAATTATTATAAGGCTCTAAAGAAATAAAGGTAGGCTATAAAACCATGCATTGTTGATTTAAATATGCTTATATTCCTATGAAATGTAAAGAGTTCGTTTAGGAGAGTAAATTATTTCTCAGAAAATTGAGTGTGAAAGTATAGAGCTATTAAACTTAGCAAGCTTTTGGAAGAAGCATATTAATATTTCTAGGCAGATAATTTGGTTCTTATTTGTAATATGCAGTCTTTCACAAATGCTTAATTTTTGTGGGTAAGAATCATTTGAAACAACCAACACCGCAGCAGAAATTAAACATTTAAACCTTATTACACTCCAGTTTCTAAAGGAAACCTCATTTTCTTAAGACTGCCTTTAAATTGGGAGTCTTTATAAGGGTATAGGTCTGTTTCAAGATAATAGAAATGTCTTGAAAATAACATTATTACTCATTTAACAAATTTGGGTGTCTTCTACATGGCAGGCAATGAGAAATTTAATTTGTGCTAGTCAGGTTTATGTTACCTAACACAATGTCTGAGCTAATCAAATTTTTTTTAAAAAAAGTGTTTACATAGGGACATAATTTTGAAAGTTTCAGTCCATGGTTGGTCAGCCCCATTGCTTTTGGGCCTGAAGTGAGGCAGCACATCACGGCAGGAACAAATGGCAGAAGATACTGCTCACTTTTTGGCAGCCAGGAAGCAAAGAGAAAAAGAGAGAGACAGGGTCTAGGGTACAAGAAGTTGCTTCGAGGTCCACTCCAGATCACGTATCTTCCTCCCACTAGGCCCCATCTCTCAAAGGTTCTACCACTTCCCAATAGTGCCATGAGCTGAGGACCAATCCTTCAACTCATAGGCCTTTGGGGACACTTCATCCAAACAATAGTAAGATTTAAATAAAAAATAGATATATAAGGCCTACCCTCAAGGGACAGACACTATTTTCTGACCTTTAAAAATTACCATAGTGTTCACATCATTAGTGATTAGGGAAATGCAAATCAAGCCTACACTGAGATTTTATCTCATGCTAGTCAGAATGACAATCATCAAGAGTACAAACGGTAAAGCCAGGTGCAGTGCTGTAATCCCAATGACTCAGGAGGCTGATGCAGGAGGATTGCAAGTCTGAGATCAGCCTCAGCAATTTCTCAAGGTTTTAAGCAACTTAGTGAGATCCTGTCTCAAAAATAAAAATTAAGGGCTGGGTTTATGGCTCAGTGGTAGAGCACTTGCCTCACAAGTCTGAGGCCCTAGGTTTGATCCTCTGCACCACATAAAAATGAATAAATAAAATAAAGATTTTTAAAAAATAAATAAAATAAAATATAAATAAAAATTAAAAGGACTGGTGATGTAGTTAAATGGTAAAGTGCTCCTTGTTTAAATTCCCAGTACCTACATAAATAAATGTATTAATAAATACTGCAGAGGATGTGGAGAGAAAAATAACATTTTTACATTGTTTGTGGGACTGCAAATTAGTACAATCACTATGGAAATCAGTATAGAGCTTCCTCAAAAAATTAGGCATGGAACCACCATACAACCCAATGATACTATTCCTCTATATTTATCCAAAAGAATTAAAGTCATCATACTACAGTAATAATATATACCACCGTTATAGCAGCACAGTTCACAATAGCCAAACTATGGAACCAGCCTTGGAGTCCATCAACGGATCTATAGATAAAGAAAATGTGTGTATGTGTGTGTGTATATATATATACACACACATACACACACACACACAAGAAAATTGTTTTACTCAGCCATTAAAAAATAACTAAAACTATGTTATTTCCAAGAAAATGGATGGAACTTTAGAATATCATGTTAAGTGAAATAAGCCAAGCTTAGAAGGTCAAGGGTCATATATTTTCATCTCATGTGTGAAAGTGAAAAGAAAGGTAGTGGTGGTGAATCTCATGAAAATTGTAGGCAAATCAGTAGAATAGAGGAAAGGGACCAGGGAGGGAGGAGGAGAAGGAAAGGGGAAATAATGGGGAATAATATCAGCCAAGTTATATTGTTTTATTGTGTGCATGAATGACTATATAACAACGAATCCCACCATTATGTACAACTATAATGTACCAATAAAAATGTGAAAAAATTTTTAAAAAATACGTAAACCAGTATGTAAAATTTAAATTACTAATAATAAATTTAGTTTTAAAACATGAAAAAAATCATCATGTTGTTGATAGTACAGTATGTTAGCATTTTAGGATTATCTCATAAATCCATGGAATTCCATGATTCTGAAATGAATGAAAATACCAGTGGCCTTCTATGTTAATTAACTTTATATGTGGCATTTTATAAAGTAGTGGTTCTTCACATTCACTTTATAGTGTAATTTAAACCACACTCTGTTTGGTGTTCATCAGAAGTAATGGGAGCTGGCAATAAACCTTAGTACTTAACAGAGTGTACTGTGGAGCCACATGCCTTGTTTCAAATACCAGGGTCACTTAGGAGCTGTGTAACTTATGTCACTTAACACACCAGGGTCAATATTTTGTAAAAAGGGGGGACCATAGTACATTCATAATACCTACCACAAACCACAGATAAAAATTAAATGAGTGAAGGTATATAAAGCATCTCATAAAATCTAGCTGTTGTTGTGTCCAATGGTAACTTACTATTACTATTTGAGCCAGGCATGGTGGCTCATGCCTGTAATCCCAGCAACTCAGCAGGAGGATTGCAGTTCAAGGCCAACCTCAGCAATTTGTCAAAGCCCTGAGTAATTTAGCAAGACCCTACCTCAAAATAAAAAGAACTGGAGATTTGGCTCAGTGGTAAAATGATCTTGGATTCAAAC